GTGCAATCGTACTGTTGCATTGCCAACGTGTGACCAAACGGTCAATTTTCTTCAGTGTTTTAACCAGATTCGGGCAGCACCACATAATCCGTTCCTATCATGACTTTAATCGGTTTCAGGTGGTTCCTCCTAATGATCAACCATTGCAAAGACTTCGAACAGTTCACTTTATTTTGCGGCTTTTTGGCCTGTTTTTTTGTTGAGATTGGCACTCGCGTAAAGAAGATGACACATTCTTATGCTTCTTTGTCCCTTTGTGAGAGTACACATCCCATGTCTACATCGCCAGGGTCAACAAGCAGGACAAGTGGTGAAGCGCTCAATTCAAAGTTTGGTGATACTACAATCAATGAGAAGCTGAGCATTTGCTTCAGTTTATCATCATCCTCTTTCTGGTATTCAAAATTGCTTCCACCTGCCATTCTGCCAGCTAGTGCTCTCCTGTCTGATTGGTTAGTGCTGCCAGCTGCAGCTACTCCTGACAGGTCAATTGGTTCCCCTGTTTGCTAATCAGTGAAGTGTGGGAGCACAGCAACGGGCCTCTCCTGGCTTTGTCTTTGGAGCAGAGGTGTTAGGCGATGGGAACCTCGCCTACTCACAAGTATGTTCATTTGTATTTGAAGTATACACACTTATTCTCATAGGCCTTCCATTATGGTAGGCTGTAAAGGCCGTCTATAAGTGGGTGACGGCATGTAGTGTACCACCGAAGTGAAAAAAACAACATTCATATAAGCTGTCAGGATTTTTGGCTAAGTCAGGGTTCTGAATAAATGAAATGTTTCACTGTGATCTACTCCGCTGTCAGCCAATGTCTGGCAATTGTAAAGTATTTGGCCATTGTTCTCACTGGGTGCCAGTTGTCTGTATCACCCACTTGTATTGACTCTGCCATCCCTCTAGACGATGATGTGTTTACCGCTGCAATTTCCTCTTTCTGAGAGTCCACCCTCCTCTAGATGTATCACTACCTCCAGTGTCTTGACTCAGTACCGTGACACCTGGATCGAAGCTATGTCTGACCAGAATCAGTGTGGAATGGAGCTTGTCATGCACAACTTGAAACCCTTTGGCGTGCTCCTTCTCTCACGTTAACATTTTTTGGAACCTTATGAAGTGATGAGGCCATCCTGGCTAAAAGTCGGTGGTAGCCTGTTACGCCATGGAGACTACGGTACTCTGTCCGATTGGTTGGTGGTGGCCAGGTCCCGATGTGGTTTGTGTGTTCTTTTATCACCATTATCCCGTTTGTTGAAAGAGTACGGACCAAGACTGTAACTGAGTGCAGTAGGAACTGCCATTTTGTTGGACAGTCTTGTAGGCAATCTAACTCTTCTCTAAGATTAGCCTTTTGTTCCTAAATGTCTCAACTCAATATGAGTGCTTAATGTTGGTTCACTAGCCAATGTTTCTGGATTGGTCCAAACAGAGTTGTTGAAAAGTGACTTCTGCCATATAGTGGCATGGAGGATATCATTTTTTACCCATCTCTCCATCCCCCTTGACCAGTATGACTTAGACAGGGCAAGGAAAACAAATTCGACTTTAGTGCCACCAATTTTCTGCACTGAACACATAGACCAAGGCTTTCATCCATTTTCATATCCATAGCAGTCCCTGAGGCCCTTGATAACCTGGTTGACTTCCTTGATTATATTGTAGAATAATCGGCTTATCGCTTCCATCAGAGGGTATCCGTCTTGATAATTGCCTCTGCGATATCTGTTGCCGTTGTAAGACGATTGTTCCGTCCAGGTCAAGACCTGTCCATGTAAGAATGCCTGTGCACCTGATCAGCAACATTCAAGGTAACCCTTCCCCATCAGGAGATAATTAAAACAGTAAGCAAAGGTTGTCCGAGCTGTTGGAATGTGTGAGTATGTTTTAAAATAGGATATCAGGGATAAACATGACAAATGAATTTGATGTGGGTAAAGTCACAGTAGGCTTGTTGCCTTTATGTGTGGAGGAGATGACTTAAACCCACTTTAAGATGGCTTTGTGCTAAATAGGGAATAATCTTCAGGGACTGAATATTAAGCTATTTGCAAAAACACCTCATTGCCCAGCTTTTTCTCCTCTGTGGTATTGCACAACAACTTTTTCCAGTCTGACCGTAACCTGATGGATTGTGAACAATCTTAAATTTTGGCTAAAAGGGTTGAAAAGCCCTCAAATTCCCTCTTGATTTAGACGCATCAGAGTTAAAGCGGAAGTTGGATGCGCGCATCGCTACTTTTTCTGGAATTTGCAGGAATAAATAGGAGTCGTTTATAAGCGAACACGAGAGGGCATTTGAAGACACACTGAAAGTTTGGGAAATTTTGCCGTCAGCTCCAACCGATTGTTGTTGCATTTAGTCAGTCGTTGCTGTTGATGCAATGCGATGTCGTGGCCAACTCCTAGCCCTTATTTACTCTAAAATCTACCAGTTCATACTTTGTTCGTGCTGTAGAGGCTGACGACCAAAATGTTTGAGAATTTAGTGCTTAAACTGGATGACTGCATATTATACGACCCTTGTTGTTGATACATCACAAAAAGCCTTCTGTGCCAGGTCTTGTAGGCACTCTGCATAATCCCCACAGTAATTCTTTACTAATTTATCAAGATAAAACTTCCCAGTTAACGCTTGATCCACCTGCAAAATGATGGGTTGGGTCATTGCGATTCAGGGTTTCCCGGAGTCAGCATCCAAGATTCTCCCAACTTTCACCACAGCGGAGAAATGTTTACTGGTAGGAGTGTACAAAGGACTTGTTAGGTTCTTCATCATTGGAGGTAAAACCGAAAATTAAATGCTCAGCTTATCCACCATTGTCCGTGTGGAGTTGCTAACCTCTTGTGGTGTGGAACCGTGAGCAGCTCCTAACGATATTTTACTACAAACTTTACTAGCTCGCTGCGAATGTTACTATTCATACTGAACACAATGGATGGCCGAAGTTCGCATCCATCGTTTGTAACCGAACGAAGGCATGGCCTTATACGCACGCACCTTGTAATGATAAACGGTGAAGTTTTGAGTTTGGGATTGTATATTCCAAACAAGTGTGTGAGATCAGCGTCTATAGTTGTACAAGCAAATGTGAGAATATGGTAACTCGTAAGATACTCCTGTTGTAGCGGAAGTGCAACTTGATCTGTGAAAAGTACGCTTATGGAAAAATGTTGGGAATTTAACAATACCTGTGTTTGGAATGCCTTTGTCACCTAGCCATGGTGTTGCAAGATTTTTCCCATACTAAATGTATTTTTGGGGTCATTGAATAGGTAGTGGATAGACTAAGGCAAAGTGTGAAGTCCCTGTCAGCTGCATTAAATGGAAGGAATCTTCTCATCGAGAAAGCGTCTGTTCAGAATATGTTCTGCAGTGATGACGATATGTGTGGCAAGCGGGTGTAATAATAACCAGTATCGGGTAGGTTGCAGCTGTCAGTTTTACCGTAAGTCCATGCTAAATTCACTCCTCTCTCTCAAGGTTGATCCGTAGGCATGCAGACCTGTCAGCATGCCTACACCCGGAAGGTGGGTGTGGTGGCTGCTACAGTTATATACCCGAACCATAAAACACGTTCATTTTTTGCAAAAATTTGCATTTTGACAATTAAGTCCCCAACTCAGGTAATAGATAGGGTTCCCTGTTTTAACATAACTTATTAAACCAAAATTGAGAATTACACTAGCCTGACGTCAAAAGTAAGCTTTCGTGGAAATAAATGCTTGAATATTGCGTAAAAATAGTGTACAAATGTGATTCAACCAAAAAAATATATGCAGTTTACTTCTAGTATGGTTCCTGTCAAGTCCAACATGGGAAAAATTGCAAAGCCTTTCGCTACACGCGTAACCAAGTTACTCATTAGTAAATGATTGCATGTGCTCTGAAGTCTGATCCACACTCGTCTCGAGTTTTTCCAAGCCACTCGCTGTAACCTGCCTTTTCTGCTGCTCGAGTATTGCCTGCTTTTCACGTTTCTTCATAACAGCAGACATGGGAAACTCATAACCAGCAGTTTCCAGAGTCCTTTTTGACTCTCTCCATGTGAAGGCAAAAGCAAGCATTACAAATAAGGAGAGAAATGTTGAAAGAACTGCCAAACCATAAGACCAGGACGCCCAGTTCAGTGTCGGATACGGCATCCAATTTGGATTCTTGTGTTCAACCCCAAAAATGATAACTGAAGGTAGTAGACAACCCACTAAAGTGGTCGCTAGGTTAATATCTTACAAGTTATTCCGTGACAAACTGCTGCAAATTGCAAAAACCGCAATCGTCTCTCGATGTTCTCGATTGGATAGCACCAGTAAAATATAAAAACGAAGTGCAGCACTGCTTGCGTAAACAGCGCTACACTAAAGAATATCTGGATAAGTAAGAACCACCCTACAACCTGTAAAATTACTGCAGACTTACATGGAACAAGGTTGGTGAAAATTTTGGAGAGATAAGGGGAGAATATCCACCAGCATTCAAAATGCGAAACCATTTTTGAATCCAATCTTGCTATGTATCCATCAAGACAGAACTCCCAAAGCCCAAGTCTTCGAAAAGGAGTGTGAATGCGAGGCCATCGCTGAAGCCAGTACGGAGAGACAAAGGAAACCACAATAAGTATGTAATTGATCAACGAAAAGTAGATGCCAAATTTGTAACGCACATTCGCAAAGAGTGTTCCAGGGCTCCTAACCTTTTTCTTTGTTGTAAGGTTGACCATTTTCACAAATGTAGCTTTGCTAAGACCAAAAGGCGCAAATTCAAATCTTCTCTGAGGCAGATGATAAACACCGATTAAAAATTAAAACACTATAAGGCTAAAAAAATAGGTGGACATTTTGGACCTACTGATGGCGTCACTTGGACAAAAATATGTTCATTTATTCCTTATTTCACTGCCAGGTACTTTCATTTTTGAGAAGGTCACGAAGATTGCATTGGGGAAATTTATGATGTCACGAAAGAACAATATATTAAATACACTCATTAAAATATAAACTTTGGGCAAAAGTCTGAAATTTTGGTAGCCAGATGATAAATATTGTCAATTTGCAGTTCGAATGGAAGGTGTCACGTCTCCTACACCACCTAATTTCCGCAAAATGACAGTAATTCAACTAGATTTTGCAACGAGTGAAATGCTGCAGTAAATTATTTTAAGTTCCACATGTAATTATTGGTCTTTTTAATCTGCATTATGCAATCATAAGGGCATTTTTCAACTGTGTTAAGAGCCAGAAAGAATATGCCTCAAAATTGCGTTTCGTTATGCACTTACTCTTGTTCAATAACTTTGTAAAATTTGGTATTTTACTAGACCGTAAAGCCAAGCGACGATTTGGTTCCAGTAGAGTGTTGCCTTGCAGGCGTGGTGCGCCTTTTTCGTGCCTACGGTGTGTTCCGTTGAAACTATCTGTAACTTCTGCATTGTATCCGTCTATCCTTAGGGCAGGCTGCGTCTTTTCCTTGTGGAATATCTGCCCTTTTACCATCGAGACCGAATGACATCATACACATTTAGGAACTCTATTGCGGAGATTTGTTTTTTGTGATGGTTTAGTTTAATATTCCAAGTTTCATGTTAACAGTCCTCTCCTCCATCTTCCTAAAGACCCTTGTTATTGCATGGCTATTCCCATTCTGATCTCCATTCCCACCTTCGTCTGATTTTTCTATTAGTATATGGCGGGACTTGAGGCCTCAGCATCTTTGCAACCCAAACGACCGTTTCGAAAGAATATAGCGGCCGAGGGAGATACCGTCATTGTCACCTATTGCAAGAATGAGATTCAACTCATCAAGCTTCGTCGTGGAGCCACTACTCAGAGTAAATGTGGTGCCATAAAACACAATGATGTTATTGGCAAACCGTACGGAAGTAGGGTTGGTGTTTCCTCCACAATTTGTTTCTCTTTTTTTGTTTACTGAATATAACTCCTTAACTACCACTTATCTTCACCAACCGTACCATTTTTGCAGGAATTGTAAACTGGGGGAATCGTAGGAACTAGGGGTAGCTAATAACGAGGCCAAAAAATTTGCTTAAGATATCTTACTGCTGTACGCTAGTTCAGGTTTTTGGAATTATGTAATGCTTAGTAACTCTACCACTTATTGTTTTACTTGGGTTTCTCGTTGGGACAAAAATCTTCCTTATTTCTCCCAAATAAATACCTAGTGGTCATGTAATTTTACCCACTAAGAAAGTTCGTTCGGTTCAGGGTATTCAGAGCTTGGATACCCTTTTTTCCCGTGCTTTGTGTTCTTATTCTGCTTCATAAGTTCCTTTTATTACCCTTATCACATGTCGTTACTATTCGCGATATGCTGCTTCTTTTCGACCTATCGTAAAGGCCAAAAGAAAGTAAATCTAAGTTCACAGATAGTTCATCCAAACATACTTTCGTCGTGAGTTTTGTGAAGCACACTTACTGGCATCACTTTCATCTTTGCAGCTAGAAATGGAATCTCTGTTGACGCAGCGTGTGAACACTGGTCGTTAGTAATCTTCATTAATAAGTAAATAAATACGGAGCACGTTTCTCCAGGAGTGAAATCCCATCTTTGGTCGCAGGATTCGCTTACCTTATCGTGTTTTAAAAAAAGTATGCAAAAAGTGTACTCTCGGGAACCAGGAATGCTGTCGTGTGGTAACCCAAGCCCAAAGTGAGGATAGGTGTATCACGCTTTCTCTTTGCTTGTGCTTCAAAGGATCACTTTTATTCAACATCGTCATTCTTAAACATACCCTTAAACAATCCAGTATTATCTCTCCCACCCTGTAGATAGCTACTTCTGTGGGTCGAGTGAATATTCTCGCTCTGGACCCGGCCATCTGGGCAATATCTGTGCCTCACCGAACACAGATAATCTACCCCATCGATGCAAGTATGATAGTCGGACAACTGGACCTGGTGCCGGGATGTCGGGTGCTAGAAGCCGGGACGGGTAGCGGTGCGTTGACACATGCTCTGGCGCAAGCAGTGTGGCCAACTGGCCACGTCTCCACCTTCGATTTTCATCAGGAGCGCGTGGAACGAGCTGTTGTGGAATTTGAGGTTCGAGCTTCAACCTTTTTTTACCATTTCTTGAAACTTGATCCCTGTGTTGGCAATGGTATGAGCGAATAGTGGGTGGTGGCTTTGTGGTCACCCGGTGGCTTTATCTAGCGATGCTTGCCTTTCCTCCGCCTGTGTGTTTGCCTGTCCCTGTCATATCGAGATTCTTTTGAGCACCACTGTCAATCGACCACCAATGTGAGATTCATAGTCTGTTCTCATTATTGTGGAAAGCCTATTCTTCCTAGCGCTAATAATGCAAAGCATCGGGAGCGATTTAGAAGTTCAGCCTACTTACCTCAAGTAACTCAATATAGCAACGCAGACAGCTTAAAATACCGGTTGCATTTTCTGTTTATTATGAAGTGACTAACCTGCACGGAAATATTTTTTGTACCTGGAAAAATTGTTTCCGGGGGTCGGTTGGGACCTTAAATGTGAGCCCTCCACCCAGTTCTTACCATGATGATGAATTATGATGAATTACTAAGCGTGTTTATGAATAGCAAGGCCTTGGTAGCATTTACAATGGCATTATTGGTGATTGGTGCATCTTTTGCCTGTATCGGGTGCCACCGCAAATGCCATGATCTCTCTAGATTGGGTAAGGGAGTGCTGCAATGATTAGTAAGTAAATCGCGTGGTTTATTCTATGTTTGTGTATTCTTTACTTATTTTGTGAAACCAGATTGCAGTACTGTAGTATACTTCCAACTTTACCTCCTTCGATGTGGAATGTTGCATCTCATGCGGTATTACTAATTTTGATAAGCCGGATGTACAAGAGTGCGCTTCATCACACCTTAGTTTTTGGCTCTTCTGAAGATGCTTTTTTATCACCATTGTAAAATGAGTTCTAAATTCCTACTTGTCTTCTGAGTTGCACAATCTCGCAAGTTTTTTTTGGCAAGCCAAAGAAATACTCATCATGTGTTACCACATTCTAAACATCAAGTCCGCATTTGGTTGACTTCAATTAAAAAGACTTTCATTTTTTTACGAAATATGGTGGAGAGCCTTGGTCAGATTCACCTTTTTGCAACCATCATCATAACTATCTCCTTTTGATCCAAAACGTTGTTATTTTCGGATACAAGTTCTGCTGCTGAATGAACCAATGAAATTGTTGGACGGGTGAAGGTGTGCTCCACAATCGTCCAGTACTATGGTTGATGATTGAAAGAGTTTTTTTCGGATTTACTATTGGAGTCTCAAGGATCTTAGCTGAGTTAAAATTAGTATTCAAACACCTTCATGCTATCCCCGTTGAAAGTGTCTTTCATTGATATCTACTACCAATTACAAATGACGCTG